AACTGTACTGTATTTTATTTTACATGAAATTTCATAGGTTTATTTTTCATTTAATAGTTTTATTTGTGTATTTTCAAATGAATAGAAATTAATAAAGTCATTTATTTATTTTTTTCCTCTGTAGAATGTAACTGAGCCTTTAATTGTCATTTATAAGGGATTTATAAAGCATAAATAGTCCTCATTATAGAGTAGGTCACAAAACTGGATGAAGTTGACTTAAAAAAAGCATTTTTTAGCATATATAGTAACCAATAATATATGCCTGAATAATAAGAAATATGAATGTCAATTTGAATATTAATCATTTACTTACGCATTGTGAATGATCTTAAAATAGCACCAACTATTCTTAAATAACTGGTTCGTAAATAATGCAATACTTCATTTAGGAATAAAAAATAATAATTAACAAAGTATAAAAATACAATTGTAACAGAGGCCAGCTAGTGAAGAGCTATGAAGGTAAACATCACTCTGACCTCTAAAGGTGTTCTAGTGACAGACGCTAGAGGCCATGGCTTTTAGTCTCTTTGTTAGGGCAACCAACTCCCAAACAAAGAATCGCCGGTTCGATCCCAGCAAAGACCGGGTTGGGTGCAGTAGAACCGGTGGGTTACACATTAAGTGAAGAGTACAGCAATTGTGGTTGCAGTTAAAAACTGCTTCCTAACGTCTTTTAATGTAGAGTTAATGCTTAACACATAATAAGTTCATTTGCTATTCCTTAATAAATGATTTATAGTGTGTAGTCATTATAAAGTGTTAACAAAATTGGTTTAAACTATGATCTCATCTGATTATGTTCTTGTTCATGTATGAGACTGTCTCTGATTTGTATCACATAATAACAGCAATATAACGCATCACACGTGTTGTCTTTGTCCCGAATACCTAAAGTGTAAATTTTATATAGTAATGTCTAACATTTTAGACACATTTTTATATTTTATGACATTTTAGATTGTCTGTTTTTGAAAGCTTTGCACAAAAAAGTTATTGTTAGATAGCGCTTTATTTCTGAATGACTTCATGTTTTAAAACAATCTGGTAAACAAGTTATTCAATGACACATTTACTCACCCTTAACCTTGTATAACTTTATTTGTCTAACTGTATTTATTTCTAAAGCAATTCTAAATCAGTAAAAGCTTTAATTATTACGATTTACATTTACTTTTGAGTGTACTGTGTAATTAATTAGAATGTGTTATTAATTAGAATGGCAGTTTAATCTGCTGTGGCGACTTCTGATGAATAGAGACTAAGCCGAAGGAAAATGAATGAATGAATGTACATTAATTAGAATTGCTTAACAGCCGGGATTTAAATCTAAAATATAAATTCTTAATGTATTAATATTCACATATGAAACAAAGATTTTATAAAAAACTGTTCAAAAACAAACCAATAATCAAAAACCAAATTAATAAACAAACTATACATTCCTTCATTTTCCTTCGGCTTAGTCTCTTTTTAAATAAGGGGTCGCCACAGTGGAATAATCAGCCAACTTATCCAGCATATGTTTTACACAGCGGACGCCTTCCAGCTGCAACCCAACACTGGGAAACACCCATACACACTTTCTCACACATACACTATGGCCAATTTAGCTTATTCAGTTCACCTATAGTCTTTGGACTGTGGGGGAAGCTGGAGCACCCAGAGAAAACTCAAGCAAATGGGGAGAACACGCAAGCTTTGAACTGAGCTGGGGCTTGAACCAGCATCCTTCTTGCTGTGAGGTGATCGTGCTACCCATTGTGGCACCATGACGCTCGTAAACAACTTATTTGAAACATAAATTTCAGAAATATACAGTTAAAATACCAAATAATAAGCAAAAATCGAATTAATAACCAAATAAAATAAATAAATAGCTATCGCATACAAAAAAGTATTACTTCTACAGTTTTTCCAAGTGTGCTCTGATAGTATGTCATATTAAATGTCAAATACTAATTTCATAACATTTTTGCATGTCACCTCTATACAGCATGCAAATGTGGCATCTTAGGATTTAAATATGGTGGTATATTTGTTATTTATTATTTGTAATTTGCAGCTTTTATGCATTCTGTGCACTGTAAATCCGGCATACAGTATAAACTGATGGATAGCTTGATTGAAACAACACATCTGATGCAGGGACAATTTCAGTGAGCATTTATCTCCATTACTTACGTTCAGATTTCAAACCGACAGGCTATGGTGATAAACAGCTTCCAGTGGGTCTCAATTGATGACAAAAGCATTTTGCAAATGAGCCACGGTTTGAAACAGAATAAAGTGTGAGAACAGAGCAGCGGGGTAGCAATTGAAATGAGGTTCAGTCTCAGGGAAACATAGCAAGTGTTAACGCAGCATTATTCTCTTTGAAACGTCATTTATTATTGGATCCTGTCCATTTCCCAGAATTTCACTCCTTTGACAAAAACTACTGCAGAGTTGAATGTGGAAGCTGTATTGTAACCATGATGTCAGATGTCTTATCTTAGCTATCTCAACATCAACTTTTGTGACATACCTTTAAAATAATTATCGCTGTGTCAAAAATTCTGTTTCAGACAAAGTAAGGGGGTAATTAATTTTAGTTTAGACAGGCTATACACCACTGTGAGTGGCATGTAGCTTTTTCCTTTTAATTATAACACATGCAGCTTTTATGACCACATATGAACTGATTTGATTACTTAATTACACTTTTAAAAGCTAATTTATCACACTGCAGGGCCATTTACAATGACCCAGTGAAGGGTAATTAAAAATGATGACCTGTAACAAGACAAGTTTTTTTTATTATTGTAAAATTGTATCTTAAATCTTTAGAAAAATAAAAATAAAAATCTAGTTTAAAGAGTGTTGACAGATATAGCTGACTTTCACCAGCCCAAAAGCTGTCCAAAACCCACACAAACACAAAAAAATTTCAAGATATTAGATTAATATTTAATTTAATTTTAATTTATTTAAATTGAAATTAACCTAGTTTCTTTAACTGGTGTAAATTAACCATACAGCAACCAATGCCAGAACAACAACAGCAAAACCGGATCACATTGAAACACTGCCACCCTCTCACCCACACACTGCACTTAATGTTGTGTAAATTACACAACACATTAGAGTATGTTTTACTTTCAAAATGGGGTATAAATTCGTCCCATTTGTTGTTTTAAATTCTTTTGAACATAATTAGGACCTGCTTGTCAATCAGACAACGATTTTATATTTGTTCTTGCTGTCAGTTGCGGAAAAGAATTATCAATCAAAGTGTTATGATAAACCGCTGTTAGTATAACTGCAGGCGCTGTGTGATACTTGTGCACGTGAAGGGGAGTCAGATTAATCCGGTGAGTCAGAGTTGGATACAACTTTCCTTCACCTCCTCTTGCGGGTGGGCTTCCATGGTTTGTGCTATTCACTGGTCATTACTAAAACCGTTTTGGTTTATACCTATTATAGATGGAAAGCATTTTTCTAATATTGATGCCAAAATTTTTTGCGAAGATCTTTGCATCTGTGTCAAGTAGGGAAATTGGCCTTGTATGACTCGCATTTGGTCTGAGATTTATGGTGGTAAATATCCATTTTCAAATGATTCTATATGCATTTCTTTAAAAGGACCAACCAATTTATTTGGGCCTGCTGTTTTGCCATTCTTTAGGTTTGATATGGATATTAAGAATTCACTTTCTTCTATTATTTGGTCAAAATAATTTTTATCATCTTCTTATATACGTGGCAGCTGAAGATCATTAAGAAACTGGGTTTGGTCTTCAATGTAATGTGCTGAGTCAGATTATACCACTCTTTAAACAACAGAACGAAAGCGCTGCTTATCTTTAATTCGATTTGATTCGATTTTAGTTCACCGTTTAGTGTTTGAATTGTATTATTGGCTTTTTCTGTCTCCAGTTTTTTTATTTGCCATGCTAATAATTTTTCGGCCTTTTCTCTGTGTTCGTAGACATTATTTTTTTTCAATCTTCTAAAGCTGTTTTCACCCTTTATTGCCGAAAGGTTGTTTACTGATCATTGCTAATTGAATGAAGTAAGAGCACACAGTTATATTCTGTTAAATAAGTTGCATATAAAATTTACGTTTTAAAACTGCGCCAATTTTGTCAACCTGCCTATGCCTTTTTTTACCCAGACAATTAAATTCAAACCTTCCAACCTGGCAACACTATTTAAAGACCCATTTTTGCTCCGGATTGAAAAGCAGTTATTTATAGCAGATATTTATACAGCATGTGCATTATCTTGGTATTTAGGAATCTATATTAGTTCAAATATAAATAAGAAATTAGTTTTGTTACTTTAGCACTATGTTGATTTCGCACCAGCGTCCAGACAGCTGACATATTGACCTGACAACAAAGACATGGCACAATCAAAATCTGCCATCTGCCTTTCTTACAGTGTTCCCAGCCCTATTAACTATTTTGGTTGCCACAATTATGCAAAATAGTAGCGCATTCTTATTAAACAAATAGTTTATCTAACTTGTACAATTCTTGTACAATTGCATGCTTAACTTTGTTTATATCCATACATAAATGCACATATAAGTGTGTGTGCACATACAGTTGAAGTTAGAATTATTAGCCCCCTTGTTTATTTGTTTCCCCAATTTAAACATTTGAAGGCTTAACTAGGTTAATTAGGTTAACTAGGCAGATTAGGGTAATTAGGCAAGTTATTGTATATTTGGTTTGTTCTGTAGGATATCGAAAAAAATATATAGCTTAAAGGGTCTAATAATTTTGACCTAAAATGTATTTTTTTTTTTAAATAAAAGAATTGCTTTTATTCTAGCTGAAATAAAACAAATAAGACTTTCTTAAAAAGAAAAAATATTATAAGACATACTGTGAAAATTTCCTTGCTCTGTTAAACATCATTTGGAAAATATTTTTTTAAAAAAAATTTAAAGGGGGGCAAATAATTATGACTTCAACTGTATATACGCATGTATTTCTGCACACCCTTACCTGTATAAGTCTGCTTTGTTCAGTCTGCAGTGTATTCAGGTCCTGTCCCAGGTTGCTTTGTCCTCTTCTGAGAGATTCATAGTCCATCTTCAGCTGCCCCGCATGAGCAGACAGCTTAGCAACTTCCTCTGCCAAGTTGACCAATAGCGCTCGATCCTGACCTTTGACAGACTTGAGATCCGTATCGTGGTCAGTGAGCGAGTGCAGCAAAGACGTCTGCACACCTTCCAGCCGCAGGAAGTTACTGTTATAATCAGGACAGTTGGGGTCGATGAAGATATTGATGCGTGATCCATCACCCCTCTCGACTGTCACCAGTGCATTGGCTTCGTCCTGATTGGTGCTAATATGGGGCGGGCCGTCCGACATAGGGGGAGCCTGGTAGTGGTTCATAAGAAGAATGGTTCCTGTCACTGTGACTGCGAGCAGAACGGCCACGAAGAGCAAGATGGTACATAGCAGATAGCTACAACTCATCCTCTGCAGACAGAGAAAAACACAGAGAGACCAAAAGAGTTAAAGCCATCATAACATCATAATCGTCATTACCATTTCTGCAGAACAGAAAGTGCTTTTTAAAGCCCGTCGGGGATAATACTGCAGTAGGATGCATCTGCAGGAAAGACAAAGGAGAGAGGAAGGTGTTCCCCATCCTCCATTCCTTTCACAACTAAACCAAGAGACTCATCTCAATCATCAAACAATATTCATGCTTATTGACACAGTTGCTCTTTTTCTTGGAAACAAACAACCATTGGATTTCAGCTCTTCTCTGTATATATTGATCAGCTTATAGAGCTGCATGATTAATCATTAAAAGTTCACAAACTCGATCCAAACACCCACACAATCTTACTCCTGCGTGACAACAGTTTGGCTATGTCTGTTTAACCTTTGACAAGTTTGATTACTGCAGACATTCAGATCTGCATTTCTGCTGCTGTTGACACGCAACAAGCAGTTTAGACATAGTTACAAAACAACATCAGTCTTTTCAAGCACACAAAATTATTATGTTAATTTGAAACATCTAAATGATCCCAGAAATACTGAGATAAAGGTTGAGTCCGTTTTTTTTCAACCACACTGTATTCATTTATTATTACTGTTATTTTTGTCTTAAGGTGGAATTAGATTACAATGATCCCTGCAGGCACAGGACGTCAGCATGACGCATTGACATTGACGTTGTACTTCATCGTTCCCCAACATCATGGGGACGTTGGATTTTGTTTGAAAATGAAAATCAGGTTGATGTCAGAACCCAATATCAGGCCAACCTCAATGCCCAATGTCCAACCTAAAATCAAACAAATATCAACGTCTAATCAGGTTACACCTTGACGTTGTGTGGAAGTTACCACTATGACATCTATTAGACATTGGATTTTGATCACTTTCCAACACAACCTAAAATCAACCAAATATCAGCGTAATTTGACAACACTATTGGACGTCAAAATAATGTTGTCCTTAGACCCTGGCTAAATATTGAATTTTGGTCACCTGCTGTCATGATCTTTCCATAGAAAAAATTAGATTTTACTTCTCAGCACAAGAATTATTGCATTAAAATTTATAATTTTTTAAATACATTTTTTTTTGTAATACAATCTTAACAGTCAGACATAGGAACTGTACCTTAAATTTTACCTGTTCAAAGAAAACACCCTTTTTGACTATTTAAACAAACGTAAATATTATCCTGCTTGCTTTTTGAGCATTGTCGAGCAAGTAAACGCCAATGATTGGTCACATGCTCAACAGAAAGGGCTGTGATTGGTTCTAATGCACTGGAAATCCGCAGATTTCCATCACTGAGTTAATTTATTTACTTGTGTAAATGTGTGCAAATATGTATATATATTTATTCGGTTTTTATATTAATTTCCATAATAATATTTATAAAACGAAGTTTCTTTGATTTATTTACAATACAGTGAGTAAAGTAATATTTTCTGTCTTTTAGTAAATAAATTATGAGAGACTTGCTTTGTTTACCAACTAATTGGATTTGGCTGGATTTGCATTGTGTGTGTGTGTGTGTGTGTGTGTGTGTGTGTGTGTGTGTGTGTGTGTGTGTGTGAGAGAGAGAGAGAGAGAGAGAAAGAGAGAGATGGAGTCTTCTTTTATTTTTCATTTCGCTTTTCAATTATTCTTTACTACATAGCAGTAAAATCAGAGCTTCTGCTGTAACTTCAGTGTTACTAAATGACTGTCCACCAAACACACACAGTGAATTGTGCACTTGTGTGTTTCTGCGTTTTAATTACTCGCTCTTGCCATCCTCACCATAGTATTCTACCGCAACATAATGCACATGAGTATATGCACAATATATAAGAAACAATTAGTTTTGAAACCCCTATTAAAAATATATATATTTAACTAGTATACAAATAATCACGGACGTTACAATAAAAAGTTAGCACATAAGCGCTGGGGTCTACTAGATTATAAAACAGTAAATCACCTTATAAAGTAGCTTGACACTACCAAAAAAAACTGCATTAAATACTGTGACACATGTCATAAATATTCAATGTTTGAAGGGAATTCAAGAGGATTTGGTGACAAACTAACCAAAGTATATTATTAATTATAATATAACTAATATCATGTATTATTTAACTAAAATTCTGCCATGGCTGCAAATTCACAGGCACTTTACTAGTGTTGCAGTTCACTCTGATTCAAACAGGAAAACTATAAGCATAGATTTCTGCATTGAAATTATTATTTTTTAAATAATTTATATAATTCACTTGGGGTCCAAAAAACCACATACCAGCACTGGAAAAGATGCAGGGTGAATAAATGACTACATTTTCATTTTAGGTGAATTATCCCTTTAAGATTGAAACTATATATCTGGTTATAATATGTTCTTCACCAGAAAACTGGGTCTTAAAACCCACCCACAGACACAATGCTGTGGTGTTTGAGAGTGTGTAGTGTCAGTATATATTATCCATTCACTCCATTACCCATGTTGTGCAGTTAATAAACTCAGCTCTCCATCTCTGATGCTCCTGTTAATAGGAAAAAAATTAAACAACATTTGACTACCATCCAAATGTGTGTGCAGTTGAAGTCTATTCGTGTTTGTGCATGTAAAATATAATTCTCTGAATAAGTGTGTATACATATGTTTTTCTTCCTCCCAACCCAAGCCTTCCTGTTCATAAATATGCAAAAAGCCATGCTGGCATTGGCCCATGCTGATGGGTGGTTAATGGCTTGCTTTACGATTTGGCTTTTACGATCAACACAGGGAAAATAAAAAAGATTTCAGGGAAGCACTTCAGTGAACAGTTTAAACAGAGAGACTAGATATCCTTTCTTCTCCATCTCTGAAGGCCAGCGGAACATGTACAGTATGAACACAAGATATGATGCTTGTGGCATGAATTGAACAGGATCCAACCACACTGACAATTATCTTATAAACCTTAGTCTATTCTTCACACAATTACTTCTATCAATGGTTCTGTATATGGCTTTGGTATTCTCTCAACTGTGCTTTCCAAACAACAGGGTTTAGAAAACAGTAGGCATGGGATGATATCCGTTTTCAAGGTATACCAGTCAAGGTATAGAAGTCAATGTTTAAAAACCGACAACGCTTTCTGCTATACCATTCCTATATGTATATGTAAGGTTTTTTTTTTTTTTAAGTATTTTTGTTGTTGTTTGATTTTTAAGACAACAGTATTTCCAGCAGTAAAGATATCCAAACATACCATTTTAAATTGTAAATAAATCTGTGTTTTTGAAACTAATGAAGAGAGCAAAAGTCAATGATTGATTTGAATTATTCAGCCTGACATGTTTACTGCTCCAAAACACTTGTTTCTCAAAATAAAATACATTGCATTCAAAGGGCAAAGTTTTAGATTTTATCCACACATTTAAAAAGAACATATTTTAGAGGAGTACCGTACACAATACCGTAAAACTGTGATATTTTTATCCAAAGTTATCATAGCGTCTTTTACCGGCCCATGCCTAGAAAACAGAACATTAATATTTTAAAAAGTACCATAAACTACATCTAACTGTGATCATGTAACTGCATTGTTAAATTAAAATATAAATTCACATTATTTTAATACAGGAATATATTATTTGGAGAATATAATGTGATACAGACAATACAACAAGACACACTGGGCATATATTATTTTTAAATAATAAAAGAAAAATGGAATTTTAAATATACATAAATACAAACATAAAAATGTAATATATTTGTGTTAAAATCAAGAAATTGCTTAGCATTTTGTGGAAACTGCAGTATTTTTATTGTTTGTTGTACAATATATTGACATGAAAATACATTGCGATAAACTATATTGTTGTCATTATATAACCATTTTATGCCACTCATTATATTGCCAGAATGACAATATAATATCTTCACAATCCAAAGAACACAGTAATATTTTATTCTTAGAAATAATTAATTTAATTATAGTCATTTTAACAATTTAATAAATAGGCATTGGATTCAGAATATGAAAATGCATCTCCTATATAAATAATAATAAATGGTATTAACAAAGTGTCAGACACAAACATGAAAATATACTATAGTATATTTAGTATTCCTTGTACAGTATATACACCATATTGACACTGACACCTCTAATAGAGATAGAGAGGTTGTGCAATAAACTAAAATGTTGCTAGAATTGTTTTTTATGTATGGGCGATAAATATTGCATCACCAAAAATCATTAAGGTCATGTCAATTTATTGTGCGATATTGATTATTGTGACAGGCTTACCATTTACATTGTTACATTCTAACAAATGTTGCAAATAAGAAGCTAAAATGCTGGGATTGATGACAAGAAACCAAAACACAGTTGCCATTAAAGAGTACCTATGGAGAATAATCTACTTTTCAAGCTGTTTGGACAGACATGTCTGTAAGTATAGTGTATAGACTGATATAAACACACCCAGGCCTTTTTTTCCCTCAATTTAACAACATAAAAACGATGCACCAGTTGGAGCGGTTTTGAGACCGACCGCAACTTGACACTAGTGCGGTCCCCCCGCCCACCAATATTGATTGACAGGCGCGCATTACCATATCCTCAGTTTATTGTTTCATGTCTGCAATTTTCAGCGTGTGAGTCAAAGGAATATCACCAAAGAAACACTCTTGCTCAATTATTGGATGTAAGGCTCATTGGGCTCAACACAAGATTGTTCATCGTCTTCCTGTGATTGAGCAACAGAGATTTTACATTTAGCGACCATTTGCACTGAACACGCAGTGAATGCAACATATCGATATTCGGGCCATTAAAGAAAGCTGATCCACCGAGTCTTTTAGCAAAAAGAAAACACTCGATTGATCTCAGCTGGCGGATCAACATTTACCACATGATCACTCTAATCGGCGCTATTGTTTGTAACTTTAGGTGGGTTTGCAAACGTGTTTTTTCATTGCATCTTCCTTAAACTTCAACCGTTTGCATTTCCCGCCATCACAGAAGCTCCCTGTCATCTCAACTTGGTTCGGCTGGAAAGTGAGAGCACGTTGCCTTGCGTGAGCGTCCCTCCATTGGAAATAGCGAACTTGCCTTAATTATAGCCTCAGTCAAAGTTAATCCAGTGTGCGTGTTTATTAGTCACAGTATACAAGCTCGAAACTTTAAACTAGCACACAGCTGACATAACTTTGTTTAATTGCTGCAGTTTTGTTCTGTGCAGAAACATGGTGTTGAGAAGCCTTTGCAATTAATTAACCATGATGAATTAAAGCGCAGTTAATAGTGAAACCGGTTAATCATTCCATCCCTAAACGGATGACGCAAACGTCACATAGCAGCTATAAAACTAAAGACACAAATGATTTTGTAACTACCAGTCTGACACATTCTGGCGCATTAGGAATATTGATTCCTCAACAGTACTCTCTGCTTGGTCTGTGTCCGAGTTGTACATGTACTGCTGAATGCTGGGCCTCTCACTCATGTTGCTTCTCTCTGTCTGCCTGACTGTTGCCATACACAAAGCGGGGGAGCTCTTGGCTCCACCCCCTCGTTAAGTTGAGCAGGAAGTCTAAACTAATTCTCATGTGAAGCAACACAGCCATACAACAACAACCTGTGCACACGCCCCCAAAATAACACTTTTTAACACATTATACTAAAAAAATCTGAATTGTGTTTTGAACTGCACCTAAACTGGCACACTTAGAAGAACAGTAATATTAATATTAATTCTTAAAAAGGGGTAAACTAGGTGCCCTTTAAATAATGTAGATGTCCAGGTCCATCATAATTTACTGAGGTTTCATATTTACTCATGTCACCTGTTCACGCTTGCTAAATAAAGTAATTTTTCTCTTAGTACAGTATGACTGATGCGCTTAAATTCTAAATGCAATTCAGTAATACCCCTTAGGCACTCTCCTCTTGAACAGCTGCTTCAACTATAGTAGAGGAAAAACTGCTAAAACAGATTCATACAGCAAACACTCAAAACGTTGAGGGCAGTGATGAGGGTTGGACTATAGTGCCATTTTCTCAGCAGATCAACCACCATTGTTTTCTTTCACTCGTTCTATTGTTGGTTTTCTCCAACTGGGCCTTGGTACAGTAGATTGATAGTTATTTTAGCTTATTATATTTTATTGAATGAAGATTGCAACAGCTTTAGAATTGAGTATCACTCTGAGTGTCTCTGTCTCTGTCCATTTACAAAAACTGTCACACACACAGCAGCATGCACATGTTATCCCAAACCCAAACAGAACCATAAATAGGCCAAGCATTTCTATATGCAAAATCTGTTTTCTCTAACATATTGGAGCATTCACTTGAATTTTAATTTCAACACCCAGACAGATGAAGGGTGTCTCTGAAAAAAAAAAAAAGTATTTGCATAAGATATTCAGTATGCAATGATACTTCAGTGGATATGAGATATATGAACCCATAAGAGGGATGACACACAGGGAGGAATTTGATGAAATGCAGACGCCAAATGTGTGTGCGCATGTCTGATAGTGACTAACTGCTTATTGGTACAATCACAAACATGCAATTCTAAAAGACAGACATGAAAGATTTACATAGCAAATGCTCTGTGTAATAGAGCAAAATCCTTTTCGGGAGTCCATCTTTTGTTTTTTTTTTCCTTCCACAGACACGATTCAGTCCACTGCAACTGTTTATATTCATCTCTCATTACACTATTCCTTTGGGGGAGGAAGAGACTGAATTGGAAGACCAAGCCAATGCATTAGTCTACCGAGGGGTCAAAATGTCTGAAAACGTTAATATAAGTTTCTCCAGTAATATTTGGTTGATTTTCAGTCAGATTTGAAATTCTTTGGACCCCACTTTATTTGCTCCAGTAGTTCCAGGAACTAATGATCTATCAAGCTTTAAGATTAATGGTGTGAGAGATTGAAGCCCTTACCTTGGGCGCTGTTTGTCTGACTGTGTCTGAGTCTGACCAGCGATGTTTGAGCTGAGGGGAGTTTGGCACACACTCACAGAACGTCTGCATCAAACAAACAAACATAAAACTACATAAAGTGATGCTTTGGCATGTGTGTGTGTGTGTGTGTGTCTGTGTGAAGGTTTTGTTGGTGTATATGGACAGAAATGTGTATAATAACATTTATATGACATAGTTGAAGGTGGTTTACGAAGAAATGTCTTGTGTTCTTACTAAATGGCATCTTTTCACATTGAACGTTTGCCACAGGTTTCCTGTAAGGGTTGGATTTAGGGGTAAGGAAATTTTAAAAACAATTTTAGAATACATAGTCACCTCAGAATTATAAGGTTCTATTTGTGTTCTAAATGACTTTAAAATATTGTGCTTCATGTGCATTCCATAAAGCAAACAATATGTGTGTAACAGTTTTTCTTTCATACATTAATGTTACAAAGACCCTAAATGTACTCTAAATGTAAATGATCAACATTGTCTTAAATTTGCAAGTTGGGGTAACATAAACAGGGCAAATGCAGATTTTAGAATTCTAGAAAGTCATTTTCTACTCAAAATTATAAAGTTCTATCAGGCAGATCATTAATTGAAGCCTTACTTTAAAATAAATTCAATCAATCTGCTTATTAGTTTATTAAAAAAAGGTTTTATACACAATATGTTGATATATGAGAGTTACATTTTTGCTTTCTAGAACATTTAAGCACACAAGGCTGTGCTAACCATTTTGTCCAGTGCAGATGTTAATTTGATGTAATTAATACGGTAATATTTATTGAATTATATACTTTATATGAATTATGGATTTAGATTTATTGAATCATATGCCCCATGGATTAAATTAAGTATCTGCCCTTCAAGGGCTAAAATCAAATTTAAAGACTTAGAAAAAACAGACAATAAGCAAACGAGCTGTTTAACAGTTTAATAAACACTGAAAATGTTTCACTGTCTATATATACACAAATAAAAACTTTTCACATTTTATAGAATACATTTTTTTAATAACTGTTTCTTTTTCAACAACGTAAAATTTAACGTCAAATTTTATGTCAAAATATGTTTCTAAATAATCACATTAACACACATCTCTTCGGTTTCAGCTTTCTTCTCAATTTTGTGTGGTGCGGCATTATTTAGTCAACTCTGATTTTTTGTTTCTTTCTGGTCTTTCTTTCTGGTGTGTGTGTGTGTGTGTGTGTGTGTGTGTGTTGAGCTTGCATGTGAATCATCTATTTGCTCTAATAATGCCCTTTTAGTAATATAGCTTCGCTTATCTGACAAAAACATAAGGTCATGTATACACTTTCATAAAAAACTTATCTGATTTTCTTTTTTATGTCCTGGGCAATAACAGTAGACAATATTACATTAGCTTTTGACTATATGGTAACAGAATCAGATCACTGAAACATTAGGATCTCTATAATGCTGCTCCACAGATGGTCCTGCTGTTTTCCAGTCACTTTTACATATTCACAGTCTCCAACTGAACAGCTCAATGGTGCATGTTATACTTAAGAAATGTTGCTTGTTACTTGCCATTTCTGTCATTCATTCATAGATTTCATTTTTGGTTTAGTCCCTTTATTAATCTGGGGTTGTCACAATGGAATGAACCGCCAACTTATACAGCATATGTTTTACGCAGCGCATGCCCTTGCAGCTGCAACCCATTTCACTTTCATATTTATCTTCCTGGTCTTCAAGTGGAAGTACAAAAGTTGACTACATGTTAAGTTAATTTAGGTGTAAAAGATTTACACTCATTTCTGTTTTCAATTTAAGACACACCGTAAGCCTTGAATTATGCCAGTCAGCTGGGAGAGGATGAAAAAAGCGACAGAAAAAGTGATGAAACAGAGTGTGCAGGTGGGCAACAGAGAGCCTGAGGAGATCAGACCACCTGTACTGACTTCAGAGCCTTCAGGCAGCATAGACTTTTCTGTTTCAGTAGATACGAAAAAAAAAGAAAAAAAAAGAGAAGGAAAATAAGAGTGAAACAGAAAGGAAATACACTATAAGATGATAAAATGTGCCCCAACTTTTGCATATTTTACCCGGTATATAAAACCATTATTTTTGACAGGATCTGTGTGCTAAAAGGGATCATTGGGCTTTATTTAATGAGAAACAATTTCTGTTGATGAAACATGCACATTTTGCTTTGACCATGTTTCACCAAAAATGGCCTCACATACTTTTTTTCATTCATTCATTCATTCATTCATTCATTCAGTCATTCAATCATTTTAATCTGGGGTCGCCACAGCAGAATGAACTGCCAACTTATCCAGCATATGTTTTACACAGCGGATGCCCTTCCAGCTGCAACCCATCTCTGGGAAACATCCATACACACTCATTCACACTCATACACTACGGACAATTTAGCCAACCAATTCACCTGTACCGCATGTCTTTGGACTTTTGGGGAAACCAAAGCACCCAGAGGAAACCCACACAAATGCAGGAGAACGTGCAAACTCCACACAGAAATGGCAACTGACCCAGCCGAGGCTCGAACCAGCCACCTTCTTGCTGTGAGGCGACAGCACTACCTACTGTGCCACCGCGTTGCCTACTTTTTCAGATGATACTTATTATTTATTGTCTATTCACTTTCACTTCACATGCAACATCAAATCCCTCTAATGTTACCACAATAAGATAAAAAGATATCAGCAATCATATATTTAGCTGATTTATACTGAACTAACAACAAAGAGATTGACTACTACAACATACAATGGTTTGTCCTGTAGACTATTGAAAAAAAAATGCTTAAAGGGGCTAATAATTTTGACCATAAAATGGTGTTAAACTGCTTTTATTCTAGCCAAGATAAAACAAATAAGACTTTCTCCAGAAGTAGAAATATTATCAGACATACTGTGAAAACAGCATGTGGAAAATATTAAAAAAAAAAAAGAAAGAAAGACAAAAGTCAAAGGGGGCTAATAATTCTGACTTCCACTGTATATAGCTTCTTTTACAATCTACCTAATCACAGTGAGAATTTTGATGACAATTGAAAGCAAAAAAAAAAAAAATCAGCTTGGCTGACACAGGAATAAAATGACCAATTTTACCACAATTTTAATTCAATAGAGCAAATGCAGATTTGTTGAAAAGAAAAAAAAAAACTTATTTAAAAAAAAAAAAAAAAAAAAAATCAGTCAGATCAGTCTTTCACTGACACACAGTAGAAGCCCCTATTACACTGCAATTGAGAGAATGAAAATACATTTCTCTCTTTCTCTCTCTCTTACTCGCTGTAGGCCCATTTGACCTGCTGGCATGGCTTTTCCTCTCCTCTCGGCTGTTTTACAGCGATACTTCTGGATACAGACACGAGCGCGTACCTGCAGAGTTTTCTCCACCGGGTCTATCAGTTGTGATCGCCGCTACTGCTTGCCGCTTACAAGCCAACAAGCCAACAATGGTTACAAAGAGGCCGACTTTAATTTCTCAAAATTTCATAAATATTTACAAACAATATAGATTATTAGTAAATCAGACATATTTATATGATTGAGTGACAACTACTGTGATACTGGTACTAAATGCTGCTTTTTTTGTGCTTTGTCTGTGCAAGTTGGAAGTTTGGTTTCAATGCAACTTCAAATTTTTGGCAGAACAAGAAAAGAGACTACTGCCCGTCGAAGACCATAAAGACACATCCTCTTGAGGAGGCACAGATTGCAGCTCTCTTTTCAGTCGGCTTTTGTCTGTTTGGTGTGTTCACATAAATCTTTTTGGTCAAGACATGATTCAATGTGAGGCGACATAACAGTTTTTATTGGTGCTAGTTGCTTGGCGTCCACCTGGTGTGTCCCGGCACTTAAAGAAACATTTAGTTTTACATTTTCAAAATACACAATTCTGTTTGATTAAGGAGCTGTTTTCTCAAAACAAATTGTCCCCACAGCTCAAAATGTACTAATATTTTGCTATACTTGTGGGCATATTTGTGGACACACACAGGCCCAAACTCAATGCTACTGTATACCAAGCCATCTCACTACTTCAATATCATTGTTGTTTTATAGTCATAGAAACACCTTGAGGATTCCAATAATCTCAACTAGGGCCATGACAAAGAAACAAAATTGCACATTGCACAGATATCCAACAGTGAGGAAGACGAATGGATTTCGCAAGCAGTGCCCCTCGTGTATATATCTCTACTCATACATAGGAGAGTTTCCTGTGAATAATGCATGTAATAACATGAGAATCAATACCATCTGACCACGAAGATGAACTCTCTATCACTCGGTTTCTCTTTCTATCTCTTTCCTCAATTTCACTTGCTCTGGTTCACCTTTCCTTCCTCTGTACACTCACCTAAGTTGAAAACTAGGAGGTTTTTTTGTGCAAACGTGAGCCTCGATAGTATAGTAAAACCTGAAATTACCTACAGTACACTGTACGATCCACATGAGGAAAACCGCTTATTAAACTCACTAAATAAAGTTTTAATTAAAACCTAAATGTGAAAATAAGTTTGCTAGTAGGTTAGATTTAAGGCCAGGGGATGCAAAATATGATAAACTGAGTATAAAAGCAAGAGAAGTCTATGGAAAGTCTCAACTGTGATAGGAAAACAAACATGTGGATGTGTGCGGTTGGGTGCTCCTTCAACTTTAATCCACCCCGAATGTTATCGGGTGAGAAGTGATGCCTATTTCAAAAAAAATGAGATAGAAGGATGCTCCAAGGACAGCATACACAAACACAAAGAGATCCACCACTGAGATGCTGGAGGGCGATCGAGGCTACAGGCATGTGTGAACTGATGCTATCTGAGGGGAAGAACTGGAGGAGCTTTGAAGCATAAATGGGTAAACTGGATTGTCCTGGTTTCCTCTTGCACTCAATAAGGGTTATTTACTTTGGGGAAAAAGAGCGAAAACTGCACTCCATTATAGGGACATACTCGATGGGACTCAAAAGCTTGTGGTTTTTGGATCAATTGCGGGGCACTGTTCTGTCCATACATGATGTTATTATTGGACATATGTAAGAAATCATTGACAAAC